ACTTTTTTGGAGGTGTCCTTGAATCGCAAATATTTTTCATTTTGATGAAGTTCAATTTATGTTTTATTCTTTTATTGGTCGTGCTTTTCGTGTCATATCTGAGAATCCTCTGCCAAATTCAAGGTCATGAGGTTTACCCCTATATTTTCATCTAAGAGTTTTATAATTTTAGCACTTAAGTTGTCTTTGATTCATTTTGAGTTAATTTTTGTATACAGTATGAGGTAAGAGTTCAACTTATTAATTCTTTTGCATACTAGTGGTATCTTATGATAAAGAAATAAGTTCATAGGATTAGTCACATATTAACATTTTAGGGAATTCCCTGGTGGTCCAGTGCTTAGGACTCGGTGCTTTCACTGCGTGGCCCGGGTTCAATCCGCAGTTGGGGAACTATGACCCTGCAAGCCAAGTGGTGCAACCAAAAAAAAAAATTTCATTGTCGCATAGTGTTTTAATAACTGTCATGGATATGTATGAAGTCTTATATGTTGCATAATATAGGACATCTTTGTTATTCATTCTGAGATTATGATATTAGCGAATTTTTAGTTTCTAAAACTAAATTGGAGGCTTCTCCAGAACCTGGAAAAGAGTATAACTACTAGAAAAGGGTAGGAAATAACACTGAGGCCAGACTTAAAGCATACAAGATAAAAATGAAATTTCAATTTGTCTTTTTTTTTAATAAGAGGCTCAAAATGGATAAAAGGGAATGTTCAGACCAAATTTAATTAGGCCCAGTTATTCCACAGGTATAAATTATGGAACCTTAATTAGTTCTTTTAGACTCTGATGTGACACTCAGTGAATTATTTCCCATTCAGTTAAAAGGGACCTCCCTTGGGCCAGTGTTTATAAAAGAAGATGAGTCAAACAAATGGTTGATAACATTAATATTACAGGCAGTTTTAGTGTACTTAAGGAATCATATTTCTTTTGGTGGTTCTGTTATAGCTCATGAGACATTCCTAAAACAGGTTTATAGCTAATAATCTTTTGAATCTCATATTGCTCTTGCTAGAGACTTGACCCCATTTCAGTCTTACAGCTGGGTCTGGTCCTACTGAAACTTTTTTATCTAATAAACTCTGCCAAAGCGGGAACCTGCCTGTGTGACATATCCTTCACCTTATCAGCAGTTTGTGTTCACATTGGCATGATTCACACCTGAGTCCCAGGACCCCATTCAGCTGAACTGATGATCACATTGATCACAAGCGGGGGTTAGAATAATTCTTCAGTGGTCTCCCACTCTGGAGAAACCCCACAGGGCTTCTGCTGACATTGAACAAATCATTTAACCCCTTTGGGCCTTTCATTCCTCTTCTGTCAAATTGGATTGCATTGTCTTAAGGTCCTGTCCATGTATAAAATGCAATGTCTGTGACTGTTGCATTTTATTTGCCACCAGGGGTAAGACTGGGTTCCTTGAGATGCTAGATTTGGTTGAGGAGGAAAACTTCTTCAGCTTCTTTGAGCTGGGCTTATATTAGTGTTGGATTTGGGGTGTGTTTGTCAGTAAGATTCTTTTTGCACAGAACTGTTATTAGAAAGCAAAATGTTAAAAAAAAAAAAAAGAAAGCAAAGTGTTTACAGAAGACATGAAGTGAAAAACTTATCTAATTTAACTTTTTAATTTTCTTGAATGGGAAGTTGACAGGTTTAACATTTTCTAGATTTTTGTAGCTAAATGGGAACAGCTTGTATATTTTTTTAAATTTTAAAATCCAGTACCATGTTCAGTTTATTGGAAGAAATTCTTTATAGGATTTTTTAAGCCAGTTTTTCAAATAACATTTGCCATGAAGTTACTTTGTGAATTTATTTTCCTTTGACCGATGGTGACTGACTGGATTTACCCCCATTTTAGCCTCTTTTGATATGGGTTGAGCTATTTCAGACACTTGGTTCATTTTACTCACAGAATAAATGGCTTGACAAATTTTAATGCCCAGTCTTAACATAGCTTGTTGCTGTAGTTTGGTCCTTTAAGGAAAATTATTTCCCCATTTCTCTTTCTTCTTCTTCATCTTTTTGTTCCTTTCTTTTCCAAGGGTTGGCATTCTGTGGACCTAAAGCCAGCTCCTCCAGCATGTGGAGGAGAGGGTGGGGCTGTGTCAGATCCGCCACAGTAGGGGGGAGAGGCTAGCGTGTCCTTTCCCTTGAGGTATAGTTCTTCCAGTCTAATGAACTGTCAGATCCACTGAGTGGCTGGTAAAGCAGATTGGACAGTGACTCAAGGAAGTAAGAAAGTAGTGGGGCAGGCTGGTGGGTGGGGGTCAATATTTTAAGTAGCAGCTATCAGAAGTAAAGTGATTTCTCCAGAGGCTCAGTAGAGAGAGCCGTGCGTGTTTCTAGTGTGACTGGTCTGCAGGAATTATGTAGAGTGGAGTGTTGTTTTCTAAGAGGAAAAGGAGGATGAGTGAGAGGGTGGTGAGAGATGAGTTAGGGTGCGTTGGAAGGCACTCTGAGAAGAGGAGCATAAATGCCCCAAAGTTTTGCATTCACATATTCAAGTATTTTTTAATAGGAGGCTTGTATTATTAGTATAAATCTTTCACCCTGTTCTAATTTGATATGCTATCTTATGGGGAAAGAGGTAAAAGCTAAGGAAAACAAGATCTTTACCTTATACATAATTATAGTTTGGGAAACAGAATCCTGCTGCAAATCTTACATGACTGATTTCTGGACCCAAAGTGGGCTTGACAGTGGGCTGGAGCAGTAATAGCCCCCCTACTGTCACGAGAGGCCAGGGCAGGCTTTTCCCAGCAAGCCTGCCTGAGGTGAGGCCTGTCCTAGACTCTAGGACCTAGAGCATGCAGGGTGACTCCCCTGTGTTTGGGAGCCGGGAAGGAGCTGGCCTGGTCAGCAAGGTGGCCTGCCAGCAGGACAGGTGGGGGTCTGGGTGCCTGGAGAAGAAAATCTAAAATGTTGAAAGCTGTGGTCTTCAGTGATTACCTATTAAACACCTACTGCAGATGGTGAGAAATTGCTCTCATCTTTGTGTAGGAAACAAAAGATGCAGGCTTCTGCTTTTAAGGAACTGTGTTTTACCCTGGCCTTTGGCAAAGTCACAGATGAAAACGGATATTAAATTGTATGACTGCCATGAGCTGATGGTGGTCTTGGGCCTCTGGAGACTTAGGCCTTTAAACGTCATTCGTTGTCTTCATAATGCATATCTGGCTGATGAATGAATGTTTATTGCCATTTAAAAATAAAACTACAAATAAACCAAAAGAGGAAATTAAGTCACCTAATCTTACCACACAGAGCTTAACCACTGAAGTGCTCCTGAAAATGGGAGATAATTAGCCAGTGCCTCCGTCCTGTGGGCCCTGGAGTCTTCCATCAGGGAGAGGACTTCCCCCAGGGGCCGTGGCTACAGGGTAGCCTTGCTAAGTGAAGACAGCTCTTGGAGACACAAGGATGACAGTCGGCTTGTTAGGAAAATCCCTTTGGAAGTAACACTACTTGCCTGCTCTTAAATTACTCTCTTCTATGAACAGGGTTCAGATTTTACATTAGGTGCTCAGTAACAAAATTTAAACTTGTAATGTTTCAATTAAATTCTGTTTTCTTCCTTTTTAAAAAGACAGATTACATATGCGTGCATAGTTATGTATGCATTAGGAAAATCATAATGTAATCTTTTCTTTCTGCTTTATTTTTAGGGCAATCTTATGAATTGACAGAGAAGCAGTGTGATAGGATGGGAAGAACTGTGAATTGAGAGTCCACAGTGTTGCCCGTTAGTTAGTCCAGATTTAATCACATACTCTAAGCTAGTGAATATATTTAATCACTTTGGATCTCAGTTTCTACACTGATATAAAACAAGGACCCACAGTGGGCAATCTTCTAGCCCTTATCATCATAACCTAAGGCCATAAATACCAATTTCCTCGTGCCAGTCTACTTTTCTGTGTTGTTAGGAGTTGAGGGGCTGCTTTTCGTTTAGTAGATAATTTTATAAGGCTCCAGCAACCAGGAGTGAGCCAGTAAGGAGGAAATGGCAGGCTGCTTCTGAATTTGCCTGGCTGTGCTTTTACCAGAGGGGCATTTCTGGTCAGAGGATTTCAGAGTGTTAGAAAACTCTGTGTTGCCAGGATGGTTACATTCTTCCTTAGACTAAAATTACAACCCAAGTGCATTTCATGATATACATATGTATTGTAATTTGTAAACATAACTCAAAACTCTGTATCTAAGTCAGGTCATTTGTGGTCGGCCATTCAGACCTCATTTCTATTTGACAAGGGTTTATTTTAAGATTGCTTTGTGGAGCGGTTGTTTAACATTCAAATGATCTATTAGTGTCAAGTCTTCGGCTAGACTTGTTTTAAATGAGCTGCCCCTTAAGTAGAAAACAAAACAGAAATTTAGGTTTCCAACCCAACCTAGCAAAATCGGTGTAACTTAAATTTTTTACCTTCACATGTATTTATTCAGCCTGTTTTTTTCTTGAATATTCATTTAGGATAATAGTACCTATGTGAATGAAATTCTTTTAGTTACTCTTGATACTGTTGCTTAGCAAAACCTATAGACTTCTTAATAGTTTCAGAGGAGAACACTTTACAGTAAGCTGAGCTAAATGGATTTTTTAGTAAGTTAATTGTGTTTCTTAGCAGAGTCGCAAATGTGCTTCCATAGAGTTTCCAGGATATTAAAAGAAATGTTCTATGGAAGCAAGTTCTCACTAGGCCATTAACTTTATTATTTTTTTACAGGCTAAATATATATTGTAACTCCATTTGGTTATTTTGTTGGAGATGGGATGGAAGCTAAAGATGATTTAGGTAAATAGCTAAACTGAACCTCAGACGGTAGTTTACACATCATTCTAATTCTTACCATTAGTACCGTGGCTTCCTCTCTCCTTTCCTGGTGTCCAGATTGCCACAGCTATAATTAGGGAGCTCTTTCCTGTTTAACAAATATCATCGTCACTTTGTAACTCAGGTCTTCAGCCCTTGCCTTTTGTGTTCCAGGTGCTCCATACTCGCCTGTAGTGCTTACGTGGCTCTGGCTTTGGGTGATAACCTTATGGCTTTGAATCATGCAGATAAACTTCTTCAGCAGCCCAAGCTGTCAGGATCCCTGAAGTAAGTGTGACTTGCCCTGTGTGTCCCTGGTTTGTTTTCTTTGGAGGGTTTCAGTTAGTTTGTGGTGCATATTGCTTCTTTTACTCCTCCAGTGGAAAATTATCTTAGGGAAAGCAAAAAGTTTCTTTCTTAATTTGGTAATTGTGTGTTTGGTAGTGAAATTTTTTTCACTTGTTGCACCTCAAGGGTTATTGGAAATGGCATTTGCCGTTCTGAGCATTAGGAAGCAGAATCTTTGGGCTCTGTAGTGTCCACTGCTGGGTCTGACTGGAGCATGTTATCATATATTAGCTCCCAAACAAGCTTAGTCCTCAGGGAGAAGACCCACACAAAAAGGAGTTTGGTCAAAAGGATAAATCTGCTTTGAAGAATTAAAGTAGACAAATAAGAATTTTAAAATATTTTTCCAGACTACTGTACCATTTCCTGAGTACATGAGTTTTATTTAAACTCTTCAGGTGCCTCTTCAATATTAGTGTCATTGTCATGCTAAAATTTTTCTAAAGCACATCATCTTTTCTTTTATGGAAATTGAGGAAGATGCAGCATTCTTTGAATCTTTGTGTGATGCTGATGCTAGAAATTTTACCCAAGACCACAAGTACTCTGCATAGCATTAGGACAGTTGTTTTTTCATTCATCCTGTGGGTATATAGTTATAATTTCCAAAATATGTTCTTTTGCCTTTTAGCACCCTTTGTTTGTAACATGCAACATTTAGAACTGTGAGATCGTACTCTGAGGAACAATTCTATAAATGTTTAATTATTTTTGTCTTTTAAAAAAGTATTACTTTATATAATCATCTAAAATTAACATTGATTAAGGTTGTTTCAGGTCAGTGTTCCCCAAACATGCCTTGTGTTTTATTATTTTGGGGGTTTTTTCATGCTTTGTGTTAAAAAAAAAAAAAATTAAAAGAGCATCCAGGAACATAGGAGAATTTGTCACAATTCAAGTGTGAGCGCTCCTGCTTGCCTGTGAGAAAACCTTGTCTAATATCCAGGCCTGGAGGGTCCTGAGCTCGAGGTCAGGGCGGTCGCGCCTTCCCTCCTTCCCGTGGCCCAGCCCCGTGAAATACCAGTCAGGAACGTCGGCCTGCGCCGCCCCACTGGACGTGCGCTGCTCAGATGTGGTGTGTGTGGCCGTCAGTAGAGCAGAGTTGTGTGTGTTTTTTTTCTTTTTAACAAAAATGAAACACGAATCCTCTCTGCTTTTTTTAATCCTCTGGCTGACATTGTGATCACTATTCTAAAACAATCCCAATTAGATTCTTTACTTGGCATTTACTGGAGGGTTTTTAACCTCATTTATCAACTTCTTCCCTCTGAACGTCAAAACAATAAAATTCTTAGATTTTATGATTTCTTAGCCAACCCTGAGGGGTTGGCCAAGCCATGTCTGATAACTTCATCTTTAATTCTCTTAACTATTCTATCCTAAGCATTGGTTTCTAATTACTGGCCAGACCACTATCTTTCCAGTGAGGATGAGCATTTTCTGCCCATGGCAGCCCAGATACCACAGCAGCTTTACCCAGCTGCTTGTTGCCTTCCGTACACCTCATCTGGAGTTCTGGGCTCTGAGTGTCATGAAGGCATTTAATTTGATTTAAAAAAATTTTTAAGTAAATTCACAGAAAACAGTTTGAAGTCGTTCTTTGGATTTGTGTGTTTGTGTTTTATAATGATTATTGGCTTATAGATACTGCTTTAATGAAGTTTTTTAAAATATCTTATTTCAAAATACATTTGAGGTTACTGATTTTTTTTAAAAGCTGTCATTTCTTTTAGGGTATTTGGTGGGGAAGCAAAATAGAAGGGCATTACAGCTCCTGCTAGTTAGAAGAAAGAAATTGCTTAATAAAGAAATAGCTCTTGAGTGATTAATGTGCATAAATCCCAGAAAATGGTCAAACTGAAAAGAGCCTAAGATTTGAGGACCCAAGATCCATGTGGACAGATCAGTTGGGACAGGCCAACTAAAGGAGGTGAGAACTGAGCTGGCCTTTAAAAGGAGTTGGATTTTGGCCTGGCTTTGCACCCCAGGAGGCAAGGCCACAGGGAGCACAGTGGGGTGTCCTGCCCAGGACGCTGTGTCTGGTGGGAACAGAAGAATCTTTGGGGGAGTGAGAATGTTGACTGAATACAGGAAAGTGGGACCAAATTGTGGAGAGCTTTAAATCTATAAGTTTAGCTTTGTTTGTCTTATTTTGTTCTCAAGTAGAAAAAGTCATTAAGATTTTGAGCAAGGTGTAATATGGCTGAGGCTGTTTTAATTTTGAAAAATCAATCAGATGATCATGGGGAAAATGGCTCAAAGTAAGACTGGAAGAAGCAGGCTGTTGTAAACCTGGGGAAAGCACTTCTGCCCAACATCAGTGGACATAAAATAGATGATGTGAAAAGGAGGACACCTTTGGAATAGAAGTAAAGCTGATCCAACCCAGATCTGGTCTGGCGTCCTGGTGCCTTTTGACTGTTCCAGCAGCAGAGGCTGGAGGACCCTAATTCTTTTTTTGTTCTTTCCCTCTTTCTTTTCTTTTGCTGTGCTGCACAGCTTTCGGGATCTCAGTTTGCCGACCAGGGATCGAACCCTGGTATAGCAGTGAAAGCCCAGAATCCTAACCACTAGGCCACCAGGGAACTCCCTAGAGGACCCTAATTCTGATCCTCCGCTCCCGGGGAATCCATCCTCGGATCTGCCTCTTATTTTAGAACTTCATTACCTTCTTATGTTATTTTCTGTATAAACAGAACAGTGTAAATTTGCCAACTTTATTTTATTTTATTTTAAATTTTTATTGAAATATAGTTGATTTACTGCCAACTTTAAACTGCTCTCTTTTTTTTTAATTAATTTATTTTGGCTGTGTTGGGTCTTTGTTGCTGTGTGCGGGCTTTCTCTAGTTGCGGTGAGCGGGGGCTACTCTTCGTTGCGGTGCACGGGCTTCTTATTGTCGTGGCTTCTCTTGTTGCGGAGCACAGGCTCTAGGCACGCAGGCTCCAGTAGTTGTGGCACGTGGGCTCAGTAGTTGTGGCTTGTGGGCTCTAGAGCTCAGGCTCAGTAGTTGTGGCGCACAGGCTTAGTTGCTTCACAGCATGTGGGATCTTCCCAGGCCAGGGCTCGAACCTGTGTCCCTTGCATTGGCAGGCAGATTCTTAACTGCTGTGCCACTAGGGAAGCCCCTAAACTGCTCTCTTAATTGATATGTCATTTGTTCCTACTTAGCGAACATAAAAATTATTATATATTTAAGATATTTTTAAAGAGATAAAATTTAAATGACTCTTAATCAATCCATTTATAAACTTAGATTTCAATTCAAAGACTTGAAATATGTGAAACACACATACACCAAATTCTATTATACTTGGGTATTTTTGTGATGACCTACTTTTCAGTTTGGAATCTGGTTGGTTTTTTTTTTTCATTTTAGGTTTCTGGGCCATTTATATGCTGCAGAAGCCCTCATCTCTCTGGACAGAATCTCTGATGCTATTACTCATTTGAACCCGGAGAATGTCACTGATGTCTCCTTAGGGATCTCTTCAAATGAGCAGGACCAAGGTTAATGAGGACACATTTGATCAGAACTCTTCACCATTTCCACTGCCTTTCCGTTGTAACTCAGGCTGTGTGGAAATTTAACGGCACGGTTGTAAAGGGAAGGGAGTTTTAGGTCGGCACTGTACGGTTTTGGCTGTACTTACTTTATACTAATTGTTTGCTGAGGAGACCTAGGAGTTGATAATCACATGGTCTAAATTCTAACTTTTGAAAGGCTGATAGTGTTAGAACAGTTTGTTTTGATTCTTATATTTTTCTCTTCAGAGGGATTCCACAATCCAGGGGAGAGTAAAAGTATCGCATTCAAAAGTCAGTTTTAAATCATGGCTAAGTTTTTGAGGGAGTGAGACTAGTTTTCACTTTATTCAGGGTTATTTCTCAGGCCATGGTGGTGGTGGTGGTAGGTAGCATTCTCATATCTTTTATTAGAACCTGTACTACATGAAAAGGAAATACTGTGGTAGATTGCTTTAATATTAGATTTCCATTTCATAAAGGAAATTAGGTTTTTAGAAAATATACTCTGTTGTCCGACCCCCTCAGATTTATTTTCATGTCTTTGTAGGATCAGACAAAGGTGAAAATGAAGCAATGGAATCCTGTAAGTAAGACGTTTTGTAAAGACTTAAGTAGCCTGGCCTGCTTCCCAAAGACTCACCCTCGAGCCTCTGTGTCCTTCCTTTGTCCGCCTGAGGAGTAGAGCTAGGCTTTATTCTGAGCAGCTCTTCAGGCAGTAGAGGGGGTTGCTCCCTGGCCCTTGGCCTGGCCTCTTCACATGTGTCTGGTCTTCTCCCCAGCTGGGAAGCGGGCACCTCAATGCTACCCCAGTTCCGTCAACTCAGCCCGGACTGTGATGCTGTTCAACCTGGGCAGCGCCTACTGCCTGAGGAGCGAGTATGACAAAGCACGGAAGTGTCTCCACCAGGTGAGGCTGGGCCAGTGCCAGACCATCTTGTGAGGCAGCCAGCAGAGGGTTTGGAGTTTCTAGGCTCTGTTATTTTGTTTGAGGCTTCTGATCAGTTTGTTAAACATTGGAATATTACTCCTCCAGACATATTCTTGGAAGGTACACAACTGATTGTTGTTGCAAATGAACCTAGGCACCTAATGGAGAGTTTTCCTGAAGATTTTAATCATTGAAATTTCAAAAGATTGGAAACCATCTAAATAAGGGCTCACAAAAATCAATGGTGTGTCCATATAGTTGAACACAATGCAGCTGTAAACCCTATATACTAAAATGGTAACATATCCAAGACATATTAAGTGAAAAGAACAAGATGCAAAACAGTTTTTATATAATCCTGTATATGCGGAAAAGATCTCCAAATGAACACACCACAAACTGTTAACATTGGCTGCAGGGCTGGCAAGATAAGTACTGTGTAGATGGAGCACTGAACTGGGAGACTTTTCACTGGATACTCATGCTTTTTAGCTTTGAATTGTATAAATCTCTGTCCACTCAAAAAGTTAAATGACAAATACGTCTTTTAAGAAGAAGGGTTCACAAAGTCAGTACCAAAGAAAGTCTATATACAATAAAGAAAGCTCCTGGCAATGTGTAACTAAAACAGACCTCTGACTTCTACCACTGAGAGGGGCCTCATCAGCAGGTCTCAAGGAAGGTTCTGATTGGGCCTCTTTAGGTCACCTGCCCATCCCTGGACTGATCATGGGCAGGGACCCATACCTGTAGTAGGAGAACAGGTACTGCCATTGGCAGCCCCAGAGGAGTTTCCCAGAATTGGAAAGGGGTAATATCCTCAGAAGGATATTAATTCAGGACCTCCCTGGCAGTCCAGTGGTTAAGACTCCATGCTTCCAATGCAAGGGGCGTGGGCTCGATCCCTGGTAGGGGAACTAAGATCCCACATGCCGTGCAGCACAGCCAAAAGAGTTAAAGAAAAAATTAGGGGGAAGAAAAGGGTATTAATTCAGCGCATGTGCTTCTGGGCTAAGCCAAGGGAATAAGACAGTAGTAAATAAGTGGACATGATACAACCTTGCCCCCATGGACCTTACAGTTAGGAGATGTCTTCCTAAAAAGGGAATCGCAAGATCAGGGGTTATGCAGAATTTTCAGACTTCTAATATAGAAAGTTTGTGCCAGGGACTTCTCTGGTGGCACAGTGGTTAAGAATCCACCTGCCAATGCAGGGGACACAGGTTCGAGCCCTGGTCTGGGAAGATTGCACATGCCGCGGAGCAACTAAGTTCATGTGCCACAACTGCTGAGCCTGCGCTCTAGAGCCCATGAGCCACAACTACTGAAGCCTGTGTGCCTAGAGCCTGTGCTCCGCCACAAGAGAAGCCACGGCAGTGAGAAGCCTGCGCACCGCAATGAAGAGTAGCCCCCACTCGCCATAACTAGAGAAAGCCTGCATGCAGCAATGAAGACCCAACGCAGCCATAAATAAATATATAAATAAATTTATTAAAAATGAAGGGAAAAAAAAGAAAGTTTGTGCCAGATGGTGTATTCACCAGCAGCACATAAGAGAACCCACATCCCCATATGTTTGCCAGAGTAACTGAAACTGAAATTAAACCTATTCTCAGAAGGTAAGGCGGCTTCCTATGAAGGTGACCTTGTTGTGTCTAGAAGTGAAGATTTACCGTGTGGAAAATAACCATGAGTGATATTTAGTCGACTTAGTGGCATCTGGTCAGCATTTCTGATCCAAAATCAGCAAAGTGAAGTGATGGACTGTCCAGGGAACGCGTTTGATCTTATCTAGGAGTTGAGTGCAGGAGTTAAACGGGAAGAGTTAAAATGTTGCGCTGTTCTCCGTGGCAAGGCTGGGCTATTGAACAGCCCTTTGGAAAGTGCCCGTGGCCCTCAAGGCCTGCAGCACACAGGCTTTGGATGTGAAGTTGCAGTGTGTACACTCTAGCTCAGGTTCTTGTGCAGCAGGTGGCCATGGCGGCAGCCACGCTGGGAGAGACAGATGGGGTCAGGCCTGGTTTGGGGTCTGAAGGGGGTTTTGTTTTGGTCCCTTGGTTTTTAGGTTAATCCAGTGGCTGGACCTTGTTAATGGGGAGGCCCACCGTGCCTGGGAGGGAGAACAATGATGTGTGAAGAGTTGGAAAGGGCTCAAGTAGAGGTTTCTGAGGTTGCCTGCCCACCACTAACCATTATGAACAGCCAGTAAGCAAAATACCATTCTCTCATAAAGTTGTTGCCATGAGTTCTTGTATTTTAGAAAAGGCTGCAGTCAGTGCAAAGGACAGTAGATGACCTGTGTTAACTAGCCAGTTGGAAGGAAAATGGAGATTTTAATATCCACAAAATGATGTAAAGGTGGTCTTGCCCATTTGAAGCTAGGCCAAAAGTATAAAATCTCATTTTCTGAACTGAGCTGTGGTACATCAGTGATGTCGTAGGAGGAATGAAAAGCCTCCTTGCTTCATTCACGAGGAACCTGGGAGCATGTGCTCTGGACGAGAACGCCCACTAGTCTGAGATTTCTTCTGATGCTGCCCGGACCCGACCTTGTGCCCGTTTCTGGTCCCCCAGATGTCTCCCACACTCACCCCATGGCCTGCACTGCCGTGCCTCCCCGCTTTCTGCCTCTCAGGTATCCACCCTTGGAGGACAGAGACAGGCTTCCCTTGCCCAAAAGCTCTGCACTCGAAGAAACTCCTCTCTCGTCGTATTCATACTACGTTCACTTTCCTCTCCCTAACAGTAAATTTGTTTGGATTACTGTTAGTTATTTGCATGCTGTTTATTATCAGGGTAAGTCCCTGTCTTACACCCACCTCTGGTCAATAAATATTTGTAAAGGACACTTTCTGATTAGATTAAGGGAAGACGCAAAGCAGTCTGGAAGCATGAGCACCTGAACCTGGATGAGGGAATACCAGTTGATGGTAAGACGAGGAAGAGGCTGCGGCCCAGAGGGGCCCAGAATGAGGGAATAAACCTACAATCTCAGCACCTTCAACCAGAACAGGACTAAATCAGAAAACTGCAGGCTGGTGTTACGGCTCTCAGATCTAGGAAAGGACAGCATGTTGCCTAAACAAATAATTTTATTTGACTAAATTGTACTATTTCAGTCCTTAAGAATGGAGACCTTGAACATGCTCTTTGTTTTTGTTTTTGTTTTTTTTGGCTGCGATGGGTCTTCGTTGCTGCACGCGGGCTTTCTCTAGTTGTGGAGAGCGGGGGCTGTTCTTCGTTGTGGTGTGCGGGCTGCTCTGCGGCATGTGGGATCTTTCCGGACCAGGGATCGAACCCGCATCCCCTGCATTGGCAGGCGGATTCTTAACCACTGCGCCACCAGGGATGTCCTGAACATGCTTAGTGGTATATTTTTTGTATATTTCCAGCCTTTTAAGTTTGAATTCTTATTCCTGACATTGGGAGTTTGCAGCTTACAATACTAAGCTGTTACTTAGGGAAAAAAAATAGACGTGCAGATTTGGATAGAGGTGCAACTGTGTGTGTCTGGTGAAGAACTACCAGCAGACCTGGATGGGTGACTGGAGTGTAGAGTCAGGAGTGTCTGATCACCCATCTCAAAACCAAATACAGCCAAGAGATAGAAGAAAACCAAGAGGGAAAGAAAGCTTTCTCCTATTAAGAACTCATTATGGACTAGGCAAGGGAAGATAAATATTTAACTAAAAATAACATGTCTAGTTTAATGGGGAGGGATCAAGACAAAGACAGCTGGACTTCCCTGGTGGTCTAGTGGTTAAGAATCCACCTGCCAGTGCAGGGGATACGGGTTCGATCCCTGGTCTGGGAAGATCCCACATGCCGCAGGGCAACTACTGAGCCTGCGCCACAACTACTGAGCCTGTGCTCTAAGGCCCGCGTTCCGCAACTACTGAAGCCCGTGTGCCTACAGCCCATGCTCTGCCACAAGAGAAGCCACTGCAATAAGAAGCCCATGCACTGCAACGAAGAGTAGCCCCCACTCGCCACAACCAGAGAAAGGCCGCTTGCAGCAATGAAGACCCAGCGCAGCCGAAAACATAAATATTTAAATTAGATTACAATAAAAAATAAGAGTTATAATGAAGTAGCTTTAAAAAAAAAAAAAAGACAAAGACAGCTGAGGACCATCCAAGCAGAACTGTAGTGTCCCAGTGAGGTTGAGTAAGTTTGCTAATTTGTCATTGGTAGATTGACATTCTTTTTTTTTTTTTTTGACATTACTTGGAGTTTGTATCTTAAGCTGTTTTTCATGGGTCTCTTTTTTGTTTTGAGCAAAGGCGGCCTCAATGATCCATCCTAAAGAGGTGCCCCCTGAAGCCATCCTGCTGGCTGTCTACCTTGAGCTGCAGAATGGTGAGTGATTCTTCTCTTGAGTTAGGACTGGAGCCCTGCAAAGAGCCCGAGATTTTTGGTGTCTGCTTTTTCTCTTTGAAATTTAAGAGGTATTACCCATCAAGTTCTTCTAGACAAAAATGTAGCGAGGGAGTTTTTGGTATCTTGCAAATTCCTACTTCTTGCAGGTTAAGCATATTTCCTTTTATCTGTGAAAATGGAGAATAGCATAACTTCTGACTATTACAATTAATCACTACTAATTAACCTTTCTCTTAGGCATCCAAATGACTCTAATTGAGAACCTGAGTCAGAATGCGGTGGGTTTGAGTTGTATACCTTAGTGTTTTAAACATAGGTGTCGTTAATGAGTTTTACCGTAAGCCAGTTCCTGCTGAGAATTTTTTATTCAGACCTAAATCCAGGTCATGCCTCTGGGGCATATACAACCTCCAGGATGTAGCTTACTGGAAGAAAGGCTGTGGGCCCTACATAAGAGAAGGCTTGAAGTAGAAAAGGAGAGCTGAATGGGGGAAATGAGAGGGGACCAAAGTTTTAAGAGTTCTTAGTCATATCCCCTTGCTGCAATCCTTCCAAGGCTCCCCCCTTTTTATAGCTGAAGAAGGAGCATTAAGTGCCTGGCACCCAGCAGGCCTTGTCCTCCTAAAAGCTGTAGTAGGGTTAGTGCATGGTCTTAGAGCCCTTTTTTTGCGCAGTCCACCTGTAGACAAGTTCTCAAACTGGGCTCCACCTTAGAATCAGTGCAAAGCTTTTAAAAATCCCATCACCCAGGTCGCACACGAAATTTCTTAAATCAGAATTTCTGGGGATGGTGCAGCGGGCATTACATGATTCCAGTGTACAGCAAAGGTTGCAGACCACTGCTCTTCTCCATCACCTTTTACCCCCTTGCGGGATTCTGACAGCTTGCTTTGTATGTGGTGGTATTGTTATATGCTTTTTTTGTGATGGGAAGTGTTTTTATAGGTAATACCCAGCTGGCCTTACAGATCATCAAAAGGAATCAGCTGCTCCCTACAGTGAAAACACTCTCTGAAATGAGAAAGAAGCCAGTGTTCCAGCCTGTCCACCCGATCCAGCCCATCCAAATGCCGGCGTTCACTGTACAGAGAAAGTGATATTTTGCTCTTGGAAAACTGTTACCTGAGACCCAGGGGAGTATTTGCAGGCCTTTTTAGTTGTATCACAGCAAAATGAATAAAAGACAGATGGTAAAGGATACTAGTTTTGAAGACACAATTTTGAAATGATTCTAATCCCTGATTTTTTTTTGCCGGAAACTTACATCAAATTAAGGATTCACAGCTCATTTTCATCGGTTTTCCTTTAATCTTTGCTAGACTACTATTTTTGAGCCATTATGTGATATATATGTGTCATAGGCAATTAAAACACAGTCTTACCAGAACAGTCTCGTATAATACATTTTGTCTTTCTGCAACGGTTAGAGTATTTTGGCATCTGAGATTTAGTGTTAAAGTTTTAAAAATGGAGAGAACAGTATGAGCAGATGAGTAGCCAGTCCAGAAGCCGATCAGAGGGGAGGGGAGGGGAGGAGAGGGGAGGTTGGTGTGTTGTACACCTAGCTAGGACTAAAAGGGCCAGAAAATGCATAATAAAACCCATAGGGCTAGTCAAATTGGGTTAAGAAGAGATGACTGATGTGATAGGAATCAATCATTTGCTTAAAAACTACAGATGAAGACAAACAGAGTTGAGGGCACTGGTCTCGTTCACCCTCCTGTACCCATAGGCAGAAGCACCAGTTCTGGACCCTGTTAGCAGGGAGTTCAAGGTTCATTGCTAACCCCTTTGGAAATGCAAACAGGAACTTAAAAGCTTCTTTCCAAGACAGGTATGCGTTGCAGGATTGACATGGCCAAAATTTGTCCATAGGGTCGATACACTAACTGTAATTAGGAAAAACAAAACACACTACATACAGGCTTGCTTTAGAAAAACTGGGTGACCCCTAGTCAAGAGCACATTTGGTAGATTCATCAGAGCTTGCCGTTTAGGATCATCCCTTGCTGTCAACATCTCTTCAGTTCCCAACTTTGGAGAACAAGTTCAGATAGGGAAACACACTAGCTGAATCTACATGGTTACTCGGTTTCACAACTGGAGAGGGGAGTGTATGGATAAGCACATGAATTTATCTGAAACTTTATCTGAATTATTCTGTTGCTGATATCAGTTTAGTTAGGGATCTACACAAGAACTGAGTATTTGTGCTGTGACTAGACATTGCCCACAGATGACTCAGAGAAAGGGAGCAATTCTTTCACTTGAACACAGGATGGATGTGCACAAGGGCTCGACTGCTCTTTTGCCACGTTGCAGTTGTTTATATACAGAGCAGATTCTTTCCAGGAGGATACAGGAAACAGAGGTGGCCTAGCTCCCTTGGGCCTCTCGAAGGCTTTTCCAAATGGGATGGGAGTAGGACCCGTAAGCTGCACTGGTGCTGGTCCAAGTCTGCAGGTGCTGCTTTCCCAAGCCCTGGACAAGCAGCAGCACCGTGGGACCCCCTTGTGTGCTGCAGGGTGGTAGCGTTGCATAGCCAGGGCATTTCCTGGACAGAGTCCACATGCTTCATAAACTGCTGGGAACCCACAGGGTCTTGGGCAGTGTATGGTGGTAGAAGGCCTGTAATTGTACTCGAGGGCAGTACATCTTTGGAGAAATCTCAAAAAAATTAGAACTTTCCCTGCTTGCGGGTTGGTTTTGGGGGGAAAGCGGTAATAGCTATGAGGCAGATTAGGCCCCACGTTGCTGTGTTAAATAATACTCTTGGCTGCAAGTAGCACAAAATGGATCCATGATTTAAACAACTTGAGAAGGTGGTACGTAGGCAGCTGGTGGCCTTTAATCTAGTGCTCAGTGATGCCATCAGGGACTCAGCCCTGTTTTTCTCACACCACTGTCTTTAGCATTTGGGTTTTTGTCCCCGTGGTCACAGGATGTTCCAGCATTACATCTGCACTGAAGGCAAGAAGAAGAGGGCAAAGGCAGCCTATCGTGACAGGAGACCATCAGGAACAAAGTTTTCCCAGAAACCCCCAGCAGACCTCGGCTTCCCTCTCCTTTGTAGGGCAAGTCATGTAGCTATCCTTAGCTGCCGGTGCTGGGACAGCCCTGCACATCTTATGGAGAAGCCAGTGAAGTGTTTTCCCAACTGGAGAACTCTATATATGATGTGTTGTCAAATTATGATCCCAGCAGCCCAGCTTTGCCTTCCACGGTGGCCCTTGACAGATCTGAACACAGTACATGTAAGCTCTTCACCTCTGTGACTTGTCATATGGAGTCCATCAGCCAGATGGCTTCTCCCACCTGTTTTTCCTGCCCCAATCCTTTAGCACCACGTCTGCTAACAGAGATAATCCTAACTGTGCTGAGGTTTAGGTTCCACGTCCCTGAAGTTTTTCCTAGCTGTCCCAGTTTCTCCCCCACCTTTGTGTCCCTTGATCGTACCTTTTCTTCTATGGTATAGGGTATTCTGTAGTTTAACAGGTGCAGGTGCTCAAAGGGTGGTGTCATATCTGATGGGGTTGTGAATTCTGAGACGAGCCTCGTTAGCTTCTGTTCAGGCTTGATCACCAGCAAAATGGGGCAAAATTCACTGCATGGGTCCCTTCACAGACCCAGAGAGAATGTGATTGTGAGTGTCCCCAGAACTGCAAGGCATGAACTCTCAGAAGAGCTGGAGTAGTCTTTCATTTTGCCCAGGCACTTACTCCACAAGAAGACACCCCTGCGGAGCCAGCGCCTTCAGGGGCCTCTCCTGCCCCGCCTGCACCCCAACCCCACTCTCGGAACAACACAACTGCTGTTCTCACCACGCAGAACCCCTTATCGACTAAAGCTGGGAGCTCTGCCCCTCACCCAACCCAAATGACTTGATCACTCTCGAGGCTTTTGATGGGTTTGCACAACGAGGCTAACTTTCCTCAGGGCCTCGTGTGAAGATTAAGATGAGATGATGAATGCAAAGGGCACTGGGTGGGCATTCACTACAGGTGAGTTCACTTACCCTCCTGTTGCCCAGAGGACCTGCTCAGCCCAGTCACCCTCGACACTGCCTTCCTTTCAGCCTTGCCTCTCTCAGGCTCCCATCCAGCCCCCTACTTGGAAGCCACCTGGAGAAAGGTGATCGACGACATTGTGGACCCTGGAGCCAGGTTCTTGGACTGGCTTCAAATCTCAGCTCTCTCACTGGGACAAGCTTGATCTGGAACAAGTTATTTTGCTTCTTTGTGCCTCAGTTTCTTCATCTGTAAAAGGAGGACACTGACAGTACCTACCTCACAGGCTTGGAGTGAGGTTTAAGGTCCTGGACATTGTTGTTGCTGGATATGAACTCCAAATGTACAAAGGGGAACTCTATAATTTTTTACTGTTTAATATAAGGGATAACCAAAGCAGAAACTGTTTTCTGAGCCACTGACACTGTGGAGTTGGGTGGTAGAGAGCAGGGGGACTCCTCCAGGTAAATGGCTGTCTCCTTCACTCTGGATACATCCAGTGTCTGGGGTGTAGTTGTTGTTCAGTAGATACTGGCATCCTGTGTTCTCATCCCATTCTTACCTGCCTCACCCAGGCCCTCATCCTTGGATGACAAGAGGTCTCTTCCCCACCCTTTCCTCCTCACCTCGGCCTGTGCCCTGTGACTGCCTGCAGCACAGCCCTGACTCCCACTGGGGGCCTCTTCATGGTAACTGCTCCCCTTTTCCTACTGAGCTTCTGTTGATCCCTCCCTTACACCCCATGTGTTATCCAAACTGGAATCTGCTGTCTCCCAAAAGTGGTCACCATTTCCCATCCCTAGGACTTTGCTTCAGTCTCCTCCACTCCCTAGAACTTCGTTCCAGTTTCAGTGTGTACACATCCTGCTGTCTCACACTAACTCCCAAGGAGATACCTGTTACAAACCAAGTCTTCATTCATTCCACATATGCTTACTGGAGGCGTGTTCCGGGTTGGTGAGCTTTTCACAGAGCCCTGTGGTAACCTGGCAGATCTTCAGGCTCAGTCTATGTTCTGTTCTTTGTCATCTGTTTCCTTCCCCTTCCTGGATTGTGAGTACTTTGAAGACAGGGCTGTGCATTATACAGTGTGTGGATTGTTCTAGATAAACAGTAAAGTCTGCAGAACAGAACTTTGGGTGCTTGCTTTCTAGGTCTGGCAGTGTCACAGGAACTACTTCTTTCAAGGTGGGATGGCTTATTAACATAATCCCAGGGTTCACGGGGCCTCAGCATCCTTGACCCTCTGAGCCTCATCAAGTAAGTTAAATACTGACCCAGGATGGGTGGGTTACTGGTGAAACTCAGCTGGCCCAGCCTAAAGTAACCAAACCTATACCTACACACAGCAAGCAGTTTACACACTCGGCTTCCCTTCCTCCCTGGGAAGAACCGGGCCGAAATGCAGGCCCTGGGGTGGGAGTGGGAGTGCCCCGGGGGGGGGGGGGGGCAGCGAAGTTCATTAGTCCCCTAATTTGGGGCAAAGGGGATCCGTGTGGTGACAAACAATCGTCCTGGAGGATTTAGGCGGATTTGGCCAAGTGTCCCTGTGGGCCCCAAGCCTCGTCCTAATCCCGTCCACATTTCTGGCTACTTAGGATCGCATTAAATGTCAAAGCCAGCGTTTAGGGAAATATCTACATTTCGTATGCATCGCCCTAGTCAAAAGAAAAGCTGGAGCGAACCTTCGAGCAATTGGCGCGAGAGCCGCTCTGTGTGGTCCGGAGGGTGAATGGGGAGAGGGGGGCGGCGCCCTCGCGGCCTCCCCGCCCAGGAATGCGGGCTTTTCACATGTAGAAAATGCTAACGCTTTGTTCCAGCCTCGGCCTCCCGGAGGTACCGAGGCGCCCGACCGGATTGTCACTGCTGCATTTGCATGTGGGCGCCCCGGTCCTGTCCCCACCCCCAACGCTCCCCTCCCCTCCCCCCAGCACGGCTTTCCTGGGGGCTTCTGAGACTGAGGGTGAGGGAAGGCCGCCTGTAAATGTCCTCTGCCATCACTGAGTCCCCGCTAAAGCCACAGGTAGCTATTCTGGAATTCTCTGAATGAATATCCTTTCCCCTGAGGCACCAGGCAGGTGAATTTTTTTACTCCAATTTCAAGATGTTATTTTACACTTTAAGTTATATGACACAATTTATTCCATCGAGGAAGATCAAGGGGTTGCATGAACCATCCTGCAGTCCCGTTTCACAGTAATGTTCTTGTGGCAAGAACCCTGCGTTTGATGTGACACTGCATGGGCTCCAAAGTAACCACTGTGCGGCTCATCCTCCGAGGGAGCAGCCGAGAGCCCTCAGGTGGCTGGGGGAGGGAAGAGTCCAAAGGGTTAAGCAGGGCCGGTGGTCCCGCGGGCGGGCCTCGGGGCCCAGAGCGCCACCTGCCGGTAGCAGTGTCGGCGCAGTGAACCAGCCCCCGAGGAGCTGAGACAGTGCCGACCCGGGGGACCCCTCGTCCCCGGCGAGACTCCACGTTTACCACCTCGTAAAGCCACCCCACCCGAGGGCGCCGCGCGTTAGCTCTGGCCTCCCAGGCTCTGGACACCCAGGGCCCCAGAGATGCAGGCAGAAAAACGAGATCTGGCTCAACATACTGTTTCCTCCGATCGCTACGGTGTTTCTTTAATTACATTCCTTTTCATTTTACTAATTTTCTTATATTTATTGTATTAGCTTTATTTATTTTTATTTTAGTTATTTCCTTTTATTTCGTTTTTATTTCGCTTATTCCACTTCGTTATTTTACTTATTTCATATTCATTTTGTTTTAGTACTTTTATTTCATTACTTAATTTCATTTATTTTGCTTTGTTTTTATATTCTCTATTATTTTATTTTATTCATTTTATCTCATTGATTCATTTCATTTGTTTTTATTTTCTCTTATTTTACTTTATTTGTGGTTGAAGGGAAAAGATGGATATCTTTTTCATCCTATTCTAAGGTTTATGTATTTTCCTGCCTCTGAGTTTTGAGAAATAGTGAAAATGAATACAATCTCAGCTAATTATTCAGGGTGTTTGCCTAATCTCCACAACTAAACTGGAAGCACCTGAAAGTCAGGGACAAGGTTTGATGTCATAATTGGACCAGGGAAATGTGTTCACCAAAAGCCATTAATAAATATTTCTCCAGTTGACACAATGTGAAACGCTCGTTGCATGTCCAGTCAATCAGATATTTAAACTCCATCAAGGTACCTTCTCTGGATAGCTGCCTCTAGAGCTCCAAGCCAACATGAGGATGGGAGACAAGGACCCAAGAATTCGAAAAAACTTCATGGAGGAAGTGTCACTTCAGGTGGGCAGGTAGAGGGGGCAGGAGACAACTACAGGTGACTGGACCATAGGGGGCATGTTACAGATAAAACTAGGAAAGAAGTTCCTGTGGTGTTTTTTGTTTTCTTTTTTTTCCTGTCACACTGCGGTGGGTCTCAGCTGCTAGAGGGAGAGTGGTCTGCAATTTGAGGTAGGCATGGGGTCATTTGTCAGGGAAGTCTCAGCTCTCAGACGCTATGGTTCTTTGGGTTCCATGGAGGCCATAGCGCTTGTGACCCACCCACCCCCAAAGACCCTGTGCATATGGTGTATGTAATTTCAGAGAAGGGGAGAATGAGTCACTATTTATTTGCTATTAATTGTCTGGAAAGCACTACGAATTGCATTTCTGAACTTTCACCTTATCATCCCTCAACCTTTTATTCTGAAAAAGATTAAATTTATGGAAAAGATAAAAAAGTGGTTCTGTGAACACCTTTATACCCTAGATCCACCAGTTAGCACTTTGCTAACATTTGCTTTACCTTTCTTCCTCTCTTACTCTCTCTCCCCTACACACACTACACACACATACACCTCTCCCCTAGCTCTCTCTCTGTCTCCCTTTCTCTCTATTTTTCAAATGAACTTTTGAGAGTAAACTGCAGACATGATGATACTTCACCACTGAATACTTAAGCCTGTATCTCTAAGAAGAGGGCCATTCTCTGCAAAACCATAATAATTTTATTATAATAATTGTCTTTAATAAGACACAGTACCTATTTCAATTTTCTCAGTTGTCCTCAAAACGCCCTTTGTTGCTGTTTTTCCACGTCAGGATCCTGCATTTCATTTGTTTGTCCTAAGTCCTCTTTAATTCAGAACATTCCCCCAACCTTTATGGTCACTCATGACATTGATGGCTTTGAGGGTTCCAGGCCATGCATGGTCTTGGAGAAGATTCCTCCATCTGCATTTATCTGATTATTTGTTGATGACTACATGCATCTTTATGAGGAGGGGGCCCATTGCTTCCGTTCCTGACACCTCCTCCCCCCAGCTGAAGGACGTCTCCTCAGAAACCTAGACCCTGGTTTCTTAATGTTCTGCTCTTGCTACCCTGTCTGTTGAGATTCCAATACCCCTATTCTTACACCACGCCCAAAACAACCCAAAAAGGAAAGCACCAAGTCATCCAAGTTTCCCTTTCTAAAAATGGCACTCTTCCTGGATTGAGAAACTCAACTTTGTATTGCTGTTTAATGATTGTGGCTTTCATTAGCACTGAGCACTGGAAAGGGAAGGATCTGGGAGGTATGGGAAGTGGTTGCAGACCCAGAGCCGTGGCCAAGACGCTGGTTGGAGGAAACCTACTAGAATCAGAAGAAGTACCACGGTGGTAAGAAGGGGTTGGCCCGGCTTCCCACAATGGTTAAGAATCCGCCTGCCAGTGCAGGGGACACAGGTTCGAGCCCTGGTCCGGGAAGATCCCACATGCCACGGAGCAACTAAGCCCGTGACCCACAACTACTGAGCCTGTGCTCTAGAGCCCGTGCTCTGCAACAAGAAGCCACTGCAATGAGAAGCCTGCACACCACGACGAAGGGTAGCCCCTGCTCACCGCAACTAGAGAAAGCCCGCATGCAGCAACAAAGACCCAACGCGGCCAAAAATAATAAATAAACAAATAAATAAGTTGAAAAGAGAAAAAAAACAAAGGGGTTGGCCATGGCTATTCATGCCTGACCCGCATATGGTGAAACACAGGGTGGACAGCAGTCCTGAGTTGGGGGTTAATCCATCTGCAGGTGGGAACAGGTCTTTGGGGACCTCCACTCACATAAGGCTTTTAGAACTGGCATGGGTGGGAGGGGCAGAAAGAAAGACGCCTCCTTTCAGCCCTTGGACCTCGTGGCTCCCGTTGCCACAGTCAGTAGTAGGGCCAAGGGGCCTGCGTGGACAAGAAAAAACAAACAAACAAACACAAATTCCAGTCTTGTACCAGCTTACTATTAGTAACAAAGTTTATTTACCTAATTAAATCCAATCTAATCTTAATCGCTCCTGACAACTTACAAAATTCTTTTCTCAAAGTTCCCCTTTTTCACAAACGTTTTATCACGTTTTGTATCTGTATGATTTATCCCTTATTTTTCCTCCATCCAGAAACAAACAGCTCTAGGACAAAATTATTACCATCATTTTTCCTCAACAAAAATATCTCCATTCTTTATACCTTCCCTCGCCGACGACATATATCCTACTTGCTTTACACACTGAAATGCTTCCCTTATCATTTTTAGTAGCTTTAATTACATATTACAATTTTTAACCCTTAAAAGCCTTAACAAAACCAAGAAACAAGTAATTGAACTATTATACCAGCATTTACTGACTGGCAAACTTATGAATATATTCTATAACCTCTAAAAACTCACATTTTTCTCGTATCATAATTTCTCTTTAATGTGGTACAAGATACATATTTAATAAACCCAAACATCTTTTGAAATTCTACTAATTAACCCAAGGCTGAAGTATCAGTCAAAGTGGGCTTTGTTTATATTTTAAGGACATGATGAGAGTTAACTTCAAGCTTTCTCCTAGGCATATTTTTGTTCTCTCAGGGTCAGAATTCTGAAAACAGTATTTTATCAAACTAGCTCTAAGTGTACTTCCCAACACAAACGGTCCTCAACGTCCGACACACATCAGAACCAACTGGCAAAATGCCCAAATAGCACTTCGTGCTCAAAAGAGAAGTTTGCCGGGTGCGCACCACTGGACTTACTTGGTCTTGGAGTTCGTCAGCTCGTTCGGAGGCATCTTTCCGTTTCACCAAGGAAAAGCGTACATTGGCAGCCAGTGCCAAG